GCTGCGAAGGACCCGCCGCGGGGACGCCGACCGGCCGGTGCACGGAGCGGGGCCGGGGCCGGGGCCAGAGCGAGGGCGAGGCCGAGGCCTTGCGCTCGGGTGCTGGGTATTTTCAATTAAAAAGCAACCCCTAAAGGAGCGGGGCTGCGTGTCCTGTTGCTGCGGGGGGGGGGGGGGAACAGGAGGCTGGTGGCTGAGGAGCAGAGAGGGCAGCTGCACCCCCAAGAGGCACCGGGGACACGAGGGTGCTGGTGCAGAGGCCGTGCCCGCCGAGTCCCGCAGGCAGAACAGTAAGTCACTGCCCGGCCCGAGGCCGTCATGCGAGGTGGGAGTGAACTTCCCGCTGCGGGACACGGTGGGTTTGTCCCACTGCCGCCCAGCCCCGTGGCACAACTTCCCCTGCTGGAGCGGGAAGGGAGTTGCTTGCACGAGGCTGGCGACACTGCTGGCTGCGAGCGTGACAGTGACGGTGCTCCTGGACGGGATAAAGGGCTGAACAGCAACACCGCAGTGCCCGCCGCCACGCGCCACAAGTAACTGGGTAGGGGGTAGCCGGGAGCCTGAACGCCTGGTTTCTCTGGGCAGGTCTGTGCTGGGACCAGTCTTTCTCCCACAGAGACCGGAGTCCAGGACCCGCGCTGTTCAACAGCATCAGTGATGTGGACGAGGGGGTGGAAAGGACGCTGTTCAAATTTGCAGACGACACTAAGATGTGGGGGGAAGTGGGCACACTAGAAGGGAGGAATAGGCTGCAATCAGACCTAGACAGGTTACAGGGGTGGGTGGATGAGAACAGGATGGGTTGCAACACTGACAAGTGCGAGGTACTGCACCTGGGGAGGAAGAACCAGCAGCATACCTACAGGCTGGGGAACTCCCTTCTCGTCAGTGCAGAGGCAGAAAAGGATCTTGGAGTCATTATTGATGCTAAAATGAACATGGGCCGACAGTGTGGGGATGCGGTCAGGAAGGCCAACCGCACCTTGTCGTGCATCCACAGATGCATCTCAAGCAGGTCCAAGGAGGCGATCCTCCCCCTCTACGCGACACTGGTCAGGCCACAGTCAGAGTACTGCGTCCAGGTCTGGGCGCCGCACGTCAGGAGGGATGTGGACAGCATCGAGAGGGTCCAGAGGAGGCCACCTGCACGGTCAGGGGGCAGCAGGGCAGGCCCTACGAGGAGAGGCAACGGGGCCTGAACCTGTTCAGCCTGCACAAGAGAAGGCTGAGGGGGGACCCAGTGGATGTCTATAAACTCACCAGGGTGGACCAGCGGGGAATGAGTGAGACCCTGTTCCCCCGAGCACTCCCAGGAGCAACAAGGAAGAACAGCCATAAGTTGTTAGAGACTATGTTCAGACTAGATATCAGGAGGCGCTACTTCGCTGTCAGGGCGGCTAGGACCTGGAACCGACTTCCAGGAGAAGTGGTGCTGGCTCCTGCCCTGGGGGTCTTTAAGAGGAGGCTGGATGAACACCTGGCCGGGGGCGTTTGACCCCAGTGCTCGTTCCTGCCATGGCAGGGGGTCGGACTTGATGATCTGCTCAGGTCCCTTCCCACCCGACCAACTATGAAACTATAAGGGATAGAGAGGGCAGAGAGAAAGTCAGAAATGGTTAGGGGAAGGGGAGGAGAGTATTTTTAAACTAAAAAAAGAAAAGAAAAACTGGGGGTTTCTCTCCAAGAGTGCCAAATGTCTCGAGGTAGAAATGAAAATGTGCACGTCACAGAGGAGCCCAAGAGGTCGTGAGATCGCCTGGTTGGAAAAGCTCATGCTGTGCAGTCAGGCTCCAATAAAAGAGCAGCCTCTTAGCCTCGAAGTTGTCTGATGGGCAGCAGGACGCTGAATCGTTTCCTCCTGGTCACGATGTTTTATATTTTGCAGGTGGGTGGGCAGATGAAAGGCTCTCCGGGGCAAGGCGTTTCCCTTGCTCCGTGAACCTACAGTCTGGTCTGGAAACAAGAGGCAGGTGCATGGGGATTCAGTGCGGTGCAGCCTGTCGCCCTGCAGGCAGTCGCTGCTCACACCTCGCCCCCTCGCTGTGGCACCGCCAGTGGGGTTTGCGGGCGGTCCGCGAGCGCAGCGTGCCACTGCCAACACTGCCGGCGGGGTCTGTGGGTGGTCGCCGACTGCTAGCCGGTGCTCGCCACCCTGGCCGCCCCCCACCACCGACAGCGCTGCGATTGCCTGCAGGCATGAGTGACGTGTGCCCGGTGGCTGAGGGGCACGGTGGTGGCGGGGGCCGGTACAGGCAGCAGGAGCGCGCTGGCGGCAGTAAGCGGGAGCTCCCGGCGCTGTTCGGGGGTGGCTGGCGAGCGCTGACCAAGGGCCGGCGACCACCCACAGCTGCCACGCGTTGGCAGTGGACAGCAGGGATCACGGACTGCCCACAGACAGCACCAGTGGTGTTGGCAGTGGGGGGTGACCGGTGACCGCCCGCAGGCGCTGCCAACAGTGTCGGCTGTGCGGTTTTGCAGGGGGTGCAGCCGCAGGCTCAGGGGTGCGCATGCACCAACCTGCACCCCCTGCGTGTCACCTCTCCCTGCAGGAGCTCCCCGCTTAGCACTGCCGTGGGTCTGGGACTGGTGCCAAAAGCTCCACTTCCCTACGCCTGTTGGGCTGCAGGGCTGCGCCGATAGGGATTTTGGGGGCCAGTACTGATTTCTAAGGAGGCATAGCAGCCAATACCGATCCGATGTCTGATCCGCAGCCCGGCTGCGGAAGAGCAGCGCTTGGCTGTAAGTGTCGAGGAGGAAGGGGAGGGGGAAGGGACGCGGCGTCGTGGGGGGGCAGGTCCAGGCCCCTGTGGGCAGAAGACACCGCTTGTCCTTGTGGCAGTCTTACCACCACAACCCAGTTCACGGGCAACTGGTGCCTCCCGACTCTGGGCGGGCACCAGCAACTGATCACCGATGGGGGCGGGTCCCCCGGGGGCCAATCACCACCCCCGCAAGTGCCACCTGCAAACCTGGAAGTGCCGCTGGTGCGCCTTGGGGATGGGGGGAACTGGCCAGCGCTTCCCACTCCCCAGTCGGTGAGGGGCAAGCTCGGGGGCACGTGCCCCCCCACGCCTCCCTTACACACTGCCTGTGACCCACTATTGCCCCAGTCGCTCTCCTTAGCGCAGGAGGACTTCTTTCCTAGCTCTGAAAACTTGGAGGTGATTCCAGGCACTGCAGTGATTTGGCATAATCGAACATTGGGCACGTTTGCAGCTGGCACAGGAGATTAAATCAATCGGGATTGCTTTCCATTGCACGGCCGGAGCCCCGCGCTTGCATCCTTGTGCAAGATGCATTGGTATTTCAGTTCAGTCGTTTCAATTTTGTGTGTCGGGCTGGTCAGACTATGGTCACCACAGCCCCCATCAGACTCCACTCAGCTGCAGGGACAGGACACGGGAGATGGAGCAGCCGGAGGGACGGCAGCACCGGGCAGCCACAGACCTGGCCTCGGCTCCACCCGGGGTCTCCCTGCACCGAGGCAAGGAGATGCCCCTTCCCAACGCACCTCCCAGGGAGGTCCCCGGCACCGCGCTAGCTCTGTTCTGCTGCAGCCCCTTCCCCGGACGCGCAGGGCCCAGCGCCCAGGCTGCCTGGGATGGCGATGGACACCCCCGCTCCCCCAGGAGCAGAGGCTGGCACAGACCCAACCACGCAGCTCCCCAGCACTCGGCCTCGCACCCGCCCGGACTGGGGGGACCCGGCTCCCAGGGCTGGCGCAGAGAGGGGCGGCGTCTCCTTTGGGGGACCCCTCCGGCCACAGCCCCTCGCGCTTACCTTTGATTCAGGTGCTGCTGGGGGCATTGCTCCCTCTGCAGGGAGGAAGGACAGGCATTAGTCAGGTGCCTCCAGCCCCAGGGGGCCCTCCCGCCCGCCCCTGCACCTCCCACCCCGCGCTCAGGAGAGCCAGGTGGGCATGAGCTGCTGCCAGCGCGGCCAGGAGGCCCCTTGCACCCCCCCGCTCCGCAGCGCCAGCGCCCAGGCACCGGCTGGCAGGGCCGGCCCAGCTCACGGGGCTGGTAGCTGCGCCCCGCGCTGGCCCCTGCTCCTCCTACCCCCACGTCTCGCACCGAGGGGTGGCACTGCCAGGATCCCCCTGGCCCCACACGCAGCCAGAGCTGCCCGCTCCACAGGAGGGAGGGGGAGCTGTGACCCCAGCCCCCGGGGCACGGGGCAGGG